CATGCCCCCCCCTCTCTCCTTTTTTTTTTTTCAGAACTGGGGATTGAACTCAGGCCCTTGTGCTCACCAGGTCTCTCTCATTTTTGAGACAGGATCTCACTTTAGTACAGGCTGGCCTCCAACTCATGGAGATCCTCCTGCCTCAGCCTCCCCAAGCTCAAGGATTATAGATGAGCCTCTACACCATGCACTCCCATTTTCTGATGTCCTCTTTTATCCACCTTATTTTTAAGAGTACTATAAGGTGTTTGTTTGTTTGTTTGTTTTTAAAGATGTAGTATTTTATTTTACTATTTTTTTTGGCGGAACCAGGGTTTGAACTCAGGCCCTTGTGCTTGCCAGGGAAGCGCTTATTCCACTGAGCCATCTCCCCGGCCCCTATAGTTTTTGTTATACAGGTCTTTTACTTCCTTGGCTAGGTTAATTTTTAATTTTCAAGTATTAATTTAATTTTTCATGATGTCATTGTGAAAGGTATTATTTCCCTAATTTTTCAGAGAATTTATTATTACTATATAGAAATGCTGCCGATTTTTATTTGTTGCCTTTGTATTCTGTTTTGTTACTGCATTTGGATATTCATTCTAGGAGTCTTGGTGACATTTTTTGGGTTTTCTGCATAGAGGAAACCCAAAAAATCTTATGTTACTTGCAAACGATAATCGGACTTTTTACTCACCTGTCCCTATCCCTTTCATCTCTTTCTCCTGCCTGTTCTGGCTAATGCTTCAAGACTTACACAATAATATACATCCCTGTCTTGTACCTGATTTTAGAGGAAAAGCTTCAGATTCTCAGATTTAATATGATGTTGGCTGTTAGTTTGTCATAAGTGACTTCAATCAGATTAAGATAGAGTCCTGTACTTATTTTCTTGAAAGGGTTGGGGTTTGTTTTTTGTTTTGTTTTGTTTTGAGACAGGATCTCACTAAGCAGTTTGGGCTGCGGCAGTGCCCCTGTAGTTCTGGGGCCCTGCATAACTTGTGAAACTAGAGATCATACTTGGGACCTTGCTCTTGCCAGGCAAGCACTTATGCCACTGAGCTATCTCCCTGGCCCTATCTTCATGTATGCTTGATGGTAGTCCTCTAGAATATTAGTCTGAGGAGTAGTAGGCAAAAAGTTTTTCCCATTCTGTAAGTTATCACTGTTGACTGTTTCCTTTGCTATATGAAAGCTTTTTAATTTGATTGTGATCCTGTTGTTGATTCTTGCTATTATTTCTTATGCAGTTGGGGTTCTGTTGATAAAAGTCTTGCCTAAGGTGCCAGCCAGAAAGCTCAGCAGATTAAAGTGCCTGCTTAGGCAGACACAGGGATTGGGGTTCACAGGGACAGGGCTTCCATCCCCAGCATGCTGTGCTGGCCCCACCCCTGGGATGCCCTGAGGTGGCGGTTGAGACTGGGTGTGGTGGTGCATGCCTGTAATCCCAGCGCTTGGGAGACTGAAAACAGGAGGATCACTACAAGTCTCATCTTTGTAATGAGACCCTGTAGATCTTGTACCAAATACAGTAAACAAATAAATCCTTGGCCTATGCCTGTGTCTCCAAGAGTTTTACCTTTTCTGTCTTCTAGTACAGTGTTTGTTTTAACATTTAGATTTTTGATCCACTTTGACTTTAGCTTAGTGCATGGTGAGACATCTTCTGCATGTGGATAGTGAGTTTTCCCTAGAGACAGCATTTGTTAG